ATGCTTCCCAGAAATTGACTAAAACCTGAGAACTGTTTCTCACCTTACTGCAAGCCAAAGATTTTCTGGAAGGAAATTCTTCTCCAAAGGCAGTACTTTTCTCCTCTTCCAGTCAAAAGCACAGCAGGTAGACTAGTTAAGTTACAAAACAGGATACCTATTCCTCTTGCTCTAATTGATGTATGCAATTCAAATTGTTCAACACCAGTTTCCTTGCTATAATTATTGCCAGGGAAGTCAAACAAGATGTCCTTCTTCATCCATCATGAGACAGAAATATAATCAAACCCCATGACTCTGTGCTTAGTTCTGAACCATGGGAAGCGTTCACCATGGCAAACTATGATGGTGTAGGAGAGTGGGTGCACACACATTTGCACATGGCCAAGCCTTCAGCTCCTGGCAAGCTGTCACTGAAGGTTTGGTATTAGAGAGGGTGGACCCTCCTGTTATAAATTATAGCATGGAATAGGCCAAACAAAGAGGCAGTTGTTTCCCAAGTTCACAGAAGGTACAGAGCTGTGATTCACTGTTAATGCTTACAACTGGGAGCAAAACACACAGGTCTCAGTAACAAGTATAAAAATATACTGCAGTCATGACTAATGATGTTTAATACCAAGGAGCAAAGTGTCTCAGTTTTATCTCAGACCCCCACTGCAAGAAAAAAAAGCTTCTTCAAATCATTATGTGTGCAAATTCATTAATATTAAATGGCTGAGTTGTCATATGACAAGGTAATGGTATAATAAATGATGATTCAAAAGGCACAGGGTTTGCTACCAGATTCACAAACAGACCAGGGTCCCAGCCATCTCAATTATGTAACAGCAAGTGCATATGTTGGTAATTAATAAAAACCATTCAAAGTCATCCTAGTAAAGAAAACACTCAAGATGGACAAACTAAAAGTCTTCAGCCTTTTTTTAGACATTGCCTTTCTGTTTCCTTCAATTAACACCGATGTATTTTAAGAGACCCCGATATTCCCAGACTATTAAGGTGTATGCAGTTTTGCCAACTCCTGTAATTCTTATTACAAATTTCACAGTATCTGACTATTTACTTACAGCCTAAGTTCTCCAAAGATCCTTATGACACATATTCACATTTATAGAAGTCATCTAATGCTCATACTGCTTAAAAGATCTTGACCATGTAACTCATTATCACTTTAACAACACAAAAATTGGAAACCAAACTTAAACAAGAAGGCTGATTTATGAATTTTAAGGCCTAATTGATTTTTGAATGTGTCAGGTTGGCAATGGCAAGGACAGAACAGATACAACTGACCTCTGTGAGCCATTAACAGAAGACTGGTCTAGGTGACAGAAAAGCTGGTTTTCTACTGCTCATTTAATTCTACTACATATATTCTAGCTGACAAAAATACTTCAATCTGTTCCCTTATACTTACTCTCTTTCTAACCATGGTTTTCACCAAGCCTTTACGACCAACCGAAAATCTCTGATTGAAAGGAAACTCTCACTGCAGGGTGGGAACCTTTTTGAACTAACTACATTCTCCCCAACCTTTAGAGAGCCACACTTTCACCATGTGAAATATTGCTTGAGCAAGTCCCTTTATCCAGCCTCAAAACACCAAGCTTGGGAATATATACAAAAGAAAATGCAAATATAAGTCTGACATTCCCAAACTGCTAAGTATGTTAAACACACAAACATTCTGCTTGCAAAATCTGCTCTTAACAGAAGACTTTTCTTTCTTGTTGTGTCTCAAAATGTCTCACACAATTGCTTTTCTATCTACAAAGAACTAGAATTTAGAGGTGAGATACTGTAGGAATTATGACGCTTTGCTAGGGTGCCATTCGTCTTGTGTTCTCTGCACCTCCCTCAACCTCCATCAGTGATGCCAAACAACAGGTCATCCCTTTTACACGTTTTTTTTGTCTGTTTGGGTTTTTTTTTAATTTAAAAAACCAAGGTGTTTTGTTAATTGGTTGGGTTTTTTGATTTTGATCTTTTGGCATTTTTTTGTTTGTTTCATTGTTTTTTTAAATAAGGAATGAAACCCAGCAAGTTGTGAAGTTCCCAAGGGAGTGGCATTCTGATCTCAGCGTACTACTGCCCTGCACACTTGACCATGGCAGCCTGTGAGGCCAGCTTCCTCTGAGCTACAGCATGCACATCGAAGAGCTGCAGAGCCCAGGCAGGCAGCCTGGTAGGAATCTAGGCCCTTCTAGTCAGGGCTTCAAAAAAGCTGCTTGTGATTTGTCATGCCAGGCCAAACAAATGCTCTCGTTTTACTACCTCAGCAAATTCTGGGAGAAAATTATTTGGTTTGGGTTTTTCTAACCAGCTCAAGACTCAGCTCCAGTGATGTAAGGTACTAGGGCACAGGAACCCTAAAAGTTCGCAGTGATACTAACTTTAAGACATGAATGGAGTTTACGTAAGCCTCAGTTCAGGCACTCAAACCAATATAAGCCAGACACACACAGGAGTGGGACTACTTATGTTGCTAAGGTACCGAGAATCTACCCTTCCAAATAATCTGCATTCACTTGCCCTTGAGTGAATGCACCTATAAACAAACAGCAATAAACCCCTTGATGCTTCTTGAACTCACATTCTGATGAAGAGAAAAATTAGTCTTTTAAAGCCCCCAGCTGAAACTTTTTCATCTCTAACTTGGAAAAAAACAAAAGAAGTCTTTTGAGATACTTACAGTAAGATTTCCAAACAGGTGGTCTGTATTCATCAGTATCTGAAAGAAAAACGGCAGATCTTAATGTTGTGTTGGAAACATCTTAACACAGAAATAATCCAGCAGAAGCACTTAATTTATTAAAATAAATATTGCATCTAGGTCCTAAAATTATTTTTTATTCTCAGAGTACAGAACAACCTGTTAAAAGCTCCCCCTCTCTACTTAAACTGAAAATATAAAAGAGTATTTTCTTTAGGCAGCTAAAATAAAGACTACATAAATGTATCTCCAAAATGGCAAACGTGTAGAGCAGAAGCCAAAATACTGGGGTGGGAGAGGGGAAATACATATTATTTTAGTATGTGTATATCCATAAATTCCTTTTTAAATTACACCAGAAAGATTTTTTAATCTCAATTTATATACCGATAAATGAGTTTTCATCCAATTTATCTCTGCCATTAGTTTTTTCCTCTTCTGGATAGCAATTAAAAACACCTAAAATAAAATCAGAGTATGAAAATACTATAAAATATTTTGCAAAATAGGAGAGGGGTTTTTCATACCGAGTACAAGCTCTACTTGGAAGCAGTCAGTATGCATTAAAATTACTAGCATATTTCTAATCCAAAATGTAAATTCTCAGATAAAATAAGATTATAATTTAAAAAAAAAAAAATCCTAGTGTTTTCTAAGTTCTGATGACTTGCTGACAACTGATGTGACATTTTGTGCCCAGGGCTCTGTTGTAAACTTTGTCTCTGATCCACTGTTTTACCACACTGACCGGCTTTGTGCAAGATGCTGCGCTTACCTGCCTTGGAGCTGATAGGAGTTACTCAGTACTCATTACACCATGGGTAACAAGCTGAGACAGCCATGCAGCCAGCCTTGCTGTTTGAAGCCTCTTTTCACTGCAGTGAGCTCTGTTTGCAACAGTCTACTCACTGGAACTACCTGCTGCATCCAACACAACCCTAATTTCTAGTTTTTATTATGAGGTTACGTAAAGATGAAGTAATCTGGGAAGCTGTTGCTTGAATTTTGGCCTGAATGGCATCTCCATTCAAGAGTCCTTAAAGCCCCCAAAACTGAGCCTGAAGCTGGGAAAGGATTTTGCCTTGCCTCCCCTCAGGATAAGCAATCTGCCTTCTTCAGATACTTGCTATACTCCATCTCTCCCACCATCACGTCAAAATATCTCTAAATTAGAGCTCAGAGGAGTGAGATGTTTCCCAGTTAAAGTGGCACAGACTTGCCCAGACCCACGCAGCACTGTCTCTGCCCTCCCTGAGCTATCATTTTGCTCAAATTTTTACCCTGTGCTTCAGCGCTATGCATGAAAAGGACGCAGTCCTTACAGACTACATTGGTGGCACTGGGTTTCATAATTATAACTAATGCTGACTTTATTATTAAAACAGCACTTGGTCAAACTGCCATCCCCCAGAATATGACAGGTTTTGATCTCTTGAAGGTCCTGCAGATGCACTACCACATCCTGAAGAATGGCCAAAGCACCTCAAATCTGCAGAGACCTTCAGTGGCTCACACTACGCTACGGCAGTAAAAGAAAATCAGCAGCAACAGATGCAGCCATGGTTATTCATTCCTACTTTGATACCTTTAATTAAGGCAGTGCAAGTCGATTCATTCCAGAGGCACTGTAACATGATCCCTTAGCACTGCCACGTAACATGGAAAAAGAGTAAAACTTGTAAGTAAAAATAATGGGTTTAATCCCAGAAGACAACTCTTGCCCCGCTAGATGAATTTTCTTTCGCTATAGTCTGGTTTTTGGCAACACATGCACCACTTGAATTTACAAATAAATAATTTAAGCAAAGGACAACACACACTGTATTTGTAAAATATGAGCTGACTGTTATGAAAATACAAATATCTTGGCAGCCTAACCTATACTTGCTTGCACTCAAGCCATATAATTGTTACAACTAAGGGCAGCATGATTATAAAACTGAAAAGCAACAATATTTGTGCCAAACAAAAACCCCCAAACCTTGTTAAAGTCAGGCAAGAACAGCAGTAACTTTCCTACAACAAACACTTAACATTCAGAAATTGGAAGGAATGATTTATGTTATGCAGCTGTGCACAAGGATTTTGTTAGAAAATCTGTCGGTGCGCTTTATTGCCTTTACAGTGTGAGAATACCCTCCGGCCATCCCACATGAGGTAATGAAAAAACAAAAGGTCATTTCTATTGTGATTTAGAAAAAAAAAAAAGAAGTTATCTGATATAAAATACTGTAGCAGCAAGTACAGAGCAGTAACAACAGTGAAGCAGACGGTGTGTGGTGTTTGTTTCTGTGCAAGAATGTTTCTATTACTAAAACCACCCTGCTATGCAAAGATAAAACAGAATACGCATAAACATCAGACCTGTCTGTTAGTTACTTGTTTTTTAAAGATTAATCAATGCGGTCCCATGTGACACATCATCAGCATTTTGAAATCCATTATTAGGAAAAAGGCTTGATTTTCAGATAGTGCAGGCTTCCACATACAACATCTCCAATTAGGCATCCAAAGTACCCAAAAAGCACTTCAAGGCATGATAAAAAACCCACAGAAAACGCTGAACCCAAAATACATTTTCTCACAAACGCTGCACCACTTTCTAATTAACGCAATAAACTCTACGCTGTCAGTTCTCAGATTTTTCTACAGCTCCCATCAGCACAGTATCTCAGCTCTGCTAAATGCTTCCACGATAAAATAAAATCATTTTCTACAAGCTGTGCATCATGTTTTATCTTAACTGTATTTTCTGCATTAAGTGAGATGCAATTCGGCTTAAAGTTGCTCTTCTCCAAAGGTCTAGAGCACTACAGAGAAGATAAATACATAAACTGATGTTACCAGCTCTGGTCAGATGTGATCCTACCAACATTGGTGAGACTTTTGCCAGCACGAGGGCACTCTTATCAGCAAGGACATTTTAGATCAGGCACACTGTCCACGTACATAAATTGCAGTTTCAAACTGAGACCAGTTTCAAGCTGACAGATACTGGTGTTGAATAGTGTTCCTAACCTTTAAAAGTGAAAATGTTTGATCATTTCCCGTTATCCCAAGCAATGACAGGTCTTTTAATTCTTCAGAATTTTGCTCTGAGTAGAAAGCCAAGATTTTATTTTTGCATAATATAATGAGACTTCTTCAAATTCTCCAGCCTGAGTCCATACTGATACCTAATATTAATTTTCCAGTCTGGAATAGATCAGAAAAGAAACACCTGTCTGCCCAAAATCTGTCCTTTCAAGCTCCTAAATAGACCTATTACAATATAAATATGTATGTATGGGTAAAGGAAAGAGTAAGAATACCTTGAACTGAGGCATCCCTTGAAAAATCCCACTGAGGCTCAAAGCTATATACAAGGTGAAGGGTGGGGGAAACAATGCTGCAGGACACATGAAAATACATTTACATTCCTTTACCCTGTAGAATCACCTTTTTGCTCTTTGAACCCTTAGTAAAATCAAACTTGTCTTTGAAGCAACATCTTATCACAGACTCGTAATAGCTGGTGCCTCTAGTTTGGGCATGGACCTAAATTTTTTACATACCCAATGTGACAGGATATGTGTGTGTCTGCTTCTTCAAGGGCAAGGGCTTGCCAGCCCAACCTTTTCTCTCCAATGGATAAGGACAGGAGTGCTCCCTAACTATTTCTTAAACAAGTCTCAGCACTTTCTTGCCATCTTTTTCTTTCCTCCCAAACACATTCTCCTCCTCTCTTTTCCAGGACCTTGCCTTCCCCCAGCCTTATCAATCTGGATCTGCACACAAGACCTCTCCCCTCATCCTTGAGCAATGCTTTGGTTTGCTTCCACTCCTGTTTTGCTAGGACTGACCTACCCAGCCCACTCTAGCTGCTCAGCATTTCATCCTCAAGCCATCCCATATTTACTCAAGGAAATTTGCCTAAACACAAAGAGAGGCAGAAAAGCCAAGAACAGCACAACAGGCAGCTTCTGGCAATAGCCTCTTTACAGGCAGAAATGTCACAGTGAAGCAGCAGTGTTGCTTTCCAAGCCCAGCGTGCCCTTCTTTAAGCACACCAACTAATGAAAGAAAAAAGAAACTATGCATCTTGGTTCATGACCATTGCTTGGTCATGAACCATTGCAATTAAGAAGTGAAAAGCACAGAATGATCATCAGAAATTCACGCTTGCACAGAAAAGGGCTTCTGCCAATAGACAATCATACAGCCATTTCAGAGAAGTTCATATACAGACACAAATGCTAGGAGAGCATCTGAGATTTTTCCATAAACACAAATGTGACTAATTGTGACATTACAATGCAGCATTTCCCTTCATTATTTTCCTTCTTTCTTACCCACTTCCATTTTATTTCTTACATAAATCTGGACAACTGTAGTGCTTTCAGAGTGCACTTTTTAACTGCAGATATGAAAACTGTTACTATTGCCTCAAACGGTTTAGAGTGCTTGTCTCTGTGTATTCCTTTTATAGAAAGAATAAAAATGTTTCCCTCTGCTTGAAATGGTTCTTTCTCCCTCCCCACTGAAGATCAGCCAGCTCTAGGGTACAGCAGCAGCAGCTTTACTGTGCATTGTAACCCCATAAAGCAATTTAGGACTTACTGTGAGGTTTCCTGTAGAAAATTCAGTTTTATTTTTCTTTTACTGTATGTCATTCCCTGCAGCATGGTCATCTGTAACATCATGCTGGAGATTAGTTTATCGCTGTCTGGGAAGAAGTAATCAGCTATCTGCTGACACAGCAGCTTTTGCCCCAAACTTTGATTTTATTTGGCAATATCTCTATTGAACACAGGTGAGGCCTCAGGTGGTGAACCTTGTGGAAGAGGCCAGTTCCTAGCCATGCAGACCAAACATCAATGTGATCAGGAGAGGAAAATATAATTTCTTGTTTTCAGAACTGATTCAGGACCAAATGGTGCAAGTCGTAAATATGAGGAGATGCAAGAAACATTCTTCAGTAAGCTACAGCCTAGGCACTAACCAGTAAGCATTAGCATGTGTTTTAAGATGCTAATTCTGCTTTGTTTGGCAGCAGCATGTGTCAAAATTTAACTCCTGGG